CTGTCCCCCGCTCACAGGTACCGCTCTCAGAATCGCTCACAGAAAGCTCACACAGGAATCACAGAAGAATACATTCGAGCGATCCCAGAGCTTGCAAGGCACTGCAACTCTTAATGGTAGCGGTGGTGGTGGTGGTAGTAGTAGTAGTAGTAGTAGTAATCGTCATACCATACCAAATAATAGGATGTGTGCGCTCGCTGCACGTGCCGATCTATCTGAGGTATGTACGAGTGTTCCAGTTTCACAAGTTGACCGCAAACTTCTGCAAAGGGCTTCAGCACTACAAAATGTTCACACAAACATGAGCCATTATATTTCAATCAACCAGACCGAACCGGTGAGGCTCTGCTTGCGGTCATCCTTTGTGCCACGTGGGGCACAGCATATGCTGGCCACTGGCCTCGTGCCTGCGCTTCGGTAGGGGGCAATAAGGGCCATTCGGGTTTAGGGTTTAGGGTGTTGGAGTATTCGCATTTCGAGTTGTGAGCTTGTCTTCGAGGAGCTGGGCAAGGTTCAGGCTCTGGCTCCCAAGCGCGACATTTCTTTTGCAAGAGGGATGTCGGCCCTTTGTACAACATGTCGCGAGATTGGGAAAAGGTACAGCTTCAAGGGTTCTGGTGCGGAGCCGTTTGATGGGGTGCAGTTTGGGCCCACGTGCCAAAACGAATTCAAACCCTGCGACCCGGGCCAAACACCGAGCCCAACTGTCACTATTTCGGGCATGCAGCTTCGCTTTTTTAACCAAAACCTCCTTCATGTCACACAATATTTTCACAAATCTCTGAAGCCCCGACTGACTGAATGATAAAAACTGAACGTAATCCGTGGGTATCTTCCCAAAACCTCCAGCCCTAAGCTTATGACCTTCAGAAGTATGTTTTTCCAGCGGGGAGCGCTACGGCTCAGTTCGCCATGACAAAGCGGGTGGTCTAGAGTCGAGCTAATTACCTCGGAGGTAGCCCGTCCAGCAACCGGTCAGACAAAAATGCCAGATTGGAGGAGATATTTCGATAAGCCCGCGATGCGGGCTTTGTGCTCTTCGGGGCAACCCACCGTGCAGGCTTCAACGTGCAAACGGGGTGAGCGTTTCTGACCACGAGCTTTTGCACAAAATTGTCTGACCTACCGAAGTGTCTGCACATGTTCAAACATGTCGGACTGTGGTCGGAACTCAGCAAGATCTGCACGACCGAGTCCGGTGTCGTCACATGGTACGACTTTGCACGATTGTTTCAAGGCGCAAACCAGCGAGGCAAAGCCCGAGGCACCTGCGACAGAAGTGACAAAACACAAGACGCTTAAAAAAGCGTTCTGAAAGTTGTGGTGCAGCCCATGTCCAGAACAAAATCCTTGCAAAAGCTCGAAGGACAGCCAGAAAAAGTGGCTCACCCGTCGGAAAAATCATGCTTGCATCATGTGCGGAGCAGATGCAAAATATGCACTGCTCCCATGTGGCCGGAAATGCCAGGTGACTGGAGACGGAAGTGCCCGGTCTGTAGGAGTCGATACGCGTAGAGAGTACGAATGTTTACGAAGCAGCCATGCACATCCCTCTCTGTAGATGGCCTCTGCAAACACAGCCCGACACAGCACGAAGTGGCCAAGTAAATACTCTTACTCCTTCCGTGCATCGGCCCTACAGACCGGGCACTTCCATCTCCAGGCACCTGGCATTTCCGGCCCCACGGTGGTGGCTGTCCGCACATGTTGAAACAGGAGCAGGATAATAGACCTGCTAAGCCTATGTGCTTGAACAGCGATAAGTCCTGCGGAACCAATAGGTTAGGTTGTTGCTTGAAGAATCGCAGTAGTGATGCCATGCGACGAGGCCCGATGTAGAGATTACCCATGCACTTAGTCATTTGCTTGGGTGCTTGATTTCTTTGGTGTCTGGGCGAATGCGAAGGGCTTCGTCGATGACCTAGGGCAGCCTGAACAAGTGGGCATGTTCTTGAAGCGATGCAACTTCTACCGTCTTGCCTATTAGATCTTGATGGGTCGGGTCATGATGAGTGAACACGTCCTCTCGATTGGCATGTTTGGTGTTCTGGTATCACGTTTTGTGTTCCTCCTGTTTACTCATCCTGCTTGTTTTCTGGTTGAGCTGCTGCAAGACCATCCGAGCCTTCTTTTGTAGTAGCAAGCCTGGGCGCTTGTAGATCCGTCCCTGCCTTGAACGAGTGCACGAGTCGAAGCTTATGCTTTTGTGTTGCCTGCCGTTCTGGAGTATTTGTCACTTTTAAATTCTTGGCGGACTTGTCGTCATGAAACAATAAAGCCTTGCTGGCTCTGTGAGAGTGCGAAAAACCGTCAGCATTACCGGGAGTCGCCTGCACCCCAAAACCCAAAGTCTGCACCCCCAAAACAGCAAGATGGGTCTGATCGCATGTCTGGTTGGAGGAGTCCAAGGGATTCCTTCTCCGAGAGATCACGCCGAGAGTGCGTGTTGAGGGCATCGAGAGTCCAGAGCCTGCAAGAAATCCACCGCCTTCGGTCTCTGAGTCCGGAACCGACTGAACCAGGCCCGAAGCGCTCAACTTGTGCATGGAGTTTGAAGCGCAGCTGGATTTTTGGGTACTAGGCTGCTGAAGGACCCTTCAAACTTAGCACTAGTACTCGTACCTCTCAGAATGCCCCATCCAAGGCTGCTTCGCGATATCACATCAGACGTGCTTTGGCGCTGCTCGGGTTCCGGTGTCGTTCATGCACCGGCCATGCTTAGGGGCATTTTCCTTCGGAAAAGTGTCGGATCTCCAAGCAGTTGAACTTTTACCTTGGCTGTCCGTTCTGGCTACCAAACCCACTAGCCGATGGCAATTCCCGAAAACCAGCCACTTGTTGGTGTTCCATCTTTCTCGGACTTCTGACCGTTCTGTGCTTCGTCCGGCCGAGCGATACACCGGGTTATGGTGTTACGAACGCCTGATTAAAAGCCTTGGAGTTCAGCAGAATGTTCTAAATAGAAACGAACCACCAGGTCACCGCAGGAAAGAAATCCTGGGCCAAGAGATCATGTCACCCTTTTGCTCAGTAGACTGCAGGAAGGCCTGGCCTGTACGCCAAGAACAAAACAAAATGACGTAGTGAGAGAGAGAGAGAGAGACAGAGAGCGAGAAATGTTTCTAACTGAAATTCCAACCATTTTGACCACAACAGTTCAGACATTGTGGTCTTTGTTGATGGCATGTTGTGCTGGTTTGCTATGACGCAGACGACCCACTTCATACGTCTAGAGTCTAGAGGTCTGTGTTGTATGCTTCTTTGCCAAAGGTGCTGGACTATGACGAGTTGCTGACGGGTCACCGACACGAGGCTCCCCAAAGCCTCGCACAATGAACCAAGAGACCGTCACGCAGATGAGAGGTAGTAGAACAGGAGCCAACATGACGACCACGACAAAAACAGCGACAAAGTGGACTACTGCTGAGCTGGTAGAGGCATGTAGACGCAAGACACAAGGACATGGTTGTTCCCACCATCCTCACCACCACAACCATCATCATCATCGTCACATTCACGCTCGCCATCCGAAAACCACACGATGTTCGCTTGTTCTTGCATGCTGCAGGATTCAGAAAGGTCCGGCCTGCACTGCCACGGCTTGAGCTGTCATGTAACCTGCTTGTAATGCAAGGTTAAGAGCTGAAATGCCTCGGCCGGCACATGTCAACAAGTCATTTCTTGTTCTCCAGTCATGGCAGGTAGCGAGTGCTAGCGAGTGCAGGAGTTTGGGGCTAATTTCGGCCGAGGGGGAAGGTCGAAACCCTTACGTGTGGAGCCTTGCCTGCCTTGTGCGAATGTGAGGGCCGGAACCCTTACGTCAAATCCCCAACCCAAGCTTCTGACAGGCGCAGTTCCTCATGGCGTTGGACCTGGTGCCCAGGATTTGCGAGGCCTCGTGGGTAAGTTAGAGAATATAGAAAGCTGAAGGCTGCGCTCTAGGGGATATTCCTGAGATGTCGGTATTCTTCATCAGGTTTTTTCTTCGGAACGAGACAACTCGTTCAGGTTCGACATGAGCATGCACTCAACGGCAACACTGTACTCCTNNCTCGTTCAGGATCGACGTGAGCACGCACTTAACGGGCAACATTGTACTTTTCCAATCAGAAACCAATTTTTTCCTAGGGAAAACAAAAAAGCGTCTTTGGGGAAACTATGCGGCCAGACCCGAAAACGATGTTTTTCCCTAGGAAAAATTGGTTTTCGGTGGAAGAACCATTTTTTTTCATTGGAAAAACTTGGGTTTGGGCTGAAAAAACAACTTTTTCCTAGTGAAAACCAGAAAACAAAACAAAACCATCTGTTGGCAAACTATGCAGCCAAACTCCAAAAAGATTTTTTTTTTTTCCCGGCTTTCCGTGAGAAAAAGATAGTTTTCAGTGGAAAAACCATCTTTTTCCTGGTAAAAATTTGCTTTTCAGCACAAAACCATCTTGTCCTTAGGAAAGCCCTACGAAAAAAATAGTAAGTCATTCCAAACCCCAAATTTTCCTAGCAAGGAGTGTGCACTTAACGGCAACACTGAACTTTTCCAATCAGAAACCAACTTTTTCCGAGGGAAGACCAAAAAAACATCTTTGGAGAAACTCTGCGGCCAGACTCTAAAGAACATAGTTTTTCCTAAGGACAAAATTGGTGTTCGGTGGAAAAACCATCTTTTTCATTGGAAAAACTTGGTTTTGGGCTGAAAACTGAAAAAAGTAACTTTCTGCTAGGAAAAAATGGTTTCGGGCAGGAAAACCAAGGTTTCCCTAAGGAAAACCAAAAAAACATCTTTTGGTAAACTATGCAGCCAAACTCCAAAAAAGATGTTTTTGGTTTTTCTCTGCAAAAAATCGTTTTCGGTGGAAAACAATTTGTTTTCTTAGGAAAAATTTGTTTTGGGCTGAAAACAAACTTTTTCCTGAAAAAAAAAGGTTTAGGGTAGCAAAACCAAGTTTTTCCTAGGAAACAGATGGTTTTGTGCTGAAGAACCCATTTTTCTGTGAAAAGATGGTTTTTCAACCGAAAACCAAATTTTTCCTAGGCAAAACTAAAAAAAGCTTATTTTCAAGTCTGGCCGCATAGTTTCCCCAAACATGTTTTTACTGTTTTTGTTTGGTTTTCACCAGGAAAAAGTTGGTTTTCCTGCCCAAAACCATCTTTCTCCTAGGAAAAAGGTTAGTTTTTCGGCCAAAAACAATTTTTTTCCTAAGAAAGTTTGTATTTCACTCCAAACCCCAAATTTTCCTAGCAAGGAGTGTGCATTTCATTTGTTTTCGCGCGTTACGAATTCATGTTGCCAATAAGGTTCCAGTATCATTGCTATTGGGATTCGGTTCCGCTCAGCATTAATCCTCTACAGTATGCTGAGCAATAACCAGGACATTGTTCGGATCAGTTTTGGTGTCGATGGAGAGCTGGTTATCGCAGCTACCATTTACCTGTTGATGAGGCCAATGGTCGGGGTTTCTCCTAGGGCCATTATTTGGGTTGCAGTTGAAGGAAATATCCGGTACAGGGTAGCTCTCATGTCTAATATTAAGTTGGCGAGTAAGGTCCATCTTGGGGGACCCCGATATCCTTACTAGCAGGGGGCCAATCGGCTGATGTATGTTATTGTATGAACCTTCCGGTCGGTGTGGGGGTTGCTATGGGGATGTATACATAACGGGGTTACAAGTCGACACTCATAACTTTGTAATCCACACGAACTGAGATGTGAATCTATAAGACATCCTTTTTGGGTGAACATGAACTAGAAGACTACTGTCACCATTGGGGCCAATGTAATGGCAGGGTTAGTCTTGGGGATATTGTTGTTTCGGAATTGAAGTCAGTCAATGCTCACGGTCAGTCATACGTAGTGACTGACTTTGATCTG